TCAATCCGGACTGCTGCACGTATTGACCACGACAGCCGATTTCGAAATCTGTAGGCTTGCTTTTAGCTTTTGGTTTCTCCTTGACCTCCCTTCGGGAAAGCTCCTCAATTGTGCTTCTCTTACTCAATAGTGCTGGGTCGGTCGAGTTGCTTGCCAACAGCAGTGCTTGATCGAAAATTGTTAGGGCGATCGAGTAATACTCTAAATGGAGGGCGGGAAAGGGAGTCTTTATGAAATTCTAAGTTGAAGCCACAGACTCACTGTAGTCGAGGATTGCTTGAGCAAAGAGATGTAGCACCTTCTCGCGTTCATCTCCGATTGGAGTTTGAAGTGTGTGTTGCTTCAGCCACTCGCTTGTTTCCGTGAACCACTCGCCGGCCACGCCTCTATCCACCTTAATCAGGTATTTGCCAATGGCATAGGTATCCAGGGCATTCAAGCTTGCGCTGCAGTTAGCAATGAGCAGCTGAAGTCAGCTTCCTCCTCAATTTAATAGACAGAGGACTTACTCGTATTGCTTTCCATTGAGAATGCCCCTGCTCATATCCTTCACAGTCAAGTTGTAAGCCTTTTGTAAGCGATACATAGAGGAGTAAGCTTCATACAGATCTGCGGTAGTTGGGAGCTCTTGTCTCGCTTTGTTAAAAAACTTCACTTGCGATTGGCCGACAGATGTTTCCATGAACACATTCCATTCCTGCCAGTCCTCATGCATCCGGCGTAGGAGTGAGAAGGCGTTAATTGGATTGGATATATAATTCTCCACTTGATGTAATGCCTCATTGCTCCGAGACTGCATTTGTGGAATGACTCTGAAAATTTGATACGTTTCATCTATCTGTTAAGTGGGTCACGTTAGTCGACTGACCTTTTCAATTTCTTCAGTTTGGCTTCCAGTTCATCCGCATAGCTGCTGAGATTTTCTATGAAATCGGCCTCAAGCTGCACCAGTCTCACCATTTCCTCTAAGGAGGTGAAGACGGCTTTTTGTGAAGCTGCTGTCCCATTGGTCAGTAAAATTATTGCTATATAAAATAACTTCCAGTCAGTCGATTTCATTGCGCTGCTTGAGATTCTCCCGAAAAAGCCGAAGGCACAAAGCCAACTTTGTATAGAGAAAACACAATGAGTAAAGGCTCTCTGTACTATGAAGTTTTAGAACACATCACATCCATAAAATGAGATCGAACAATCGCTGAGAGCAATTTGTCTCTAACTCTCTTCGTCCATAAGACTCTTGTGATATAAAGTAATGCCCATGCATGCAGGCTCATTGTGCTATAATACTTTTCTATAATTTACAGATCTAATAATAATATATAATTAATAAATTTACGTATGTTAAATAATAACTTCCATTTATTTCAATTATTGGCTTGGAAACATAATTAGATAGTTATCGACTTCAAAGCTTGTTGAGATGACTTTGAAAATGCACAAAGAATAATTCTTTATGGCAAATTGCCTTTTGATTATATTTAAGATAAGTTAATTCTATAAATTATATTAGTTAAGGTTATACGTTCTTGCTATTTGCGAGACAGGGTCTTCGGAATACTTGTTGTCGTTCGCGTATCCACTTGTTACAAACTGTGAAGTAGAGTCATGTCATCCATGTTTGTATGTGAAGGGACTTAGGTTATACTTACCCCACTTGGAGCCCACTATCACTGGGCAGGCGGCGTGCAGTGTTTGTGGATCTCCGTTTCCGTCGTGCCTTAGATTGTACCAGACAACGGCTGTTCCACTTTTGGGAAAGACGGCCTTCTCAATGTTGGGAAAGACCGTGGCGCCTCCTTGCTCCACATCGGTTAGCTAGGAACGAAATAAATTGAAAATCAGAGAGAGGCAAGTACGCCCCTGCATTTACTCACATAAAAGAGCACGGTGGCGATGCGATCGCCATTGAGTCTCGTCAAATCGGCAGCCTAGAATAGAATGTGTTAAAGATAAGCTGCATCCGAGTCGATTTATGTACTCACAACGCTGGAGTTGAAGTAGTCATAGTGCTTGTCGTAGTGCCCGCCGAGGCCATAGTTCATGACCTGCAACATCTCCGAGCCATACATGTCGAAGCCAGTCATATCGGTAATGCGTCTGTTCAGGCGAATCGTCAGTTGGTTTAGTGTGTCCAGCAACCACGTAACCTTCGAGGTTCGCGTCTTGACTACATGGTTACGCATGCTCTGCTGGTTGAAGACCGTTGCGCGCTTTAAGCCTGGCACCGCCAGGCTCTGAAGTTCGCTGATCTCGCTGGGTGATATGACATCATGATATATCACCATATAGGGATCCAGTGAAATCAACTCCATTTTCAGTGGAGCCAGGCGCAGAAAGGCCGAAGTGGTGCTGTTGTAGACGCAGTACAGCTTCAAGTTCTGAGGATACTGGCCACGGCAGCCACGCTCATAGGCCTGAGCTTGCGGCGTAAAGAACTGTCAGCCAGAGAGAGAGAGAGAGAGAGAGAGAGAGAGAGAGAGAGAGAGAGAGAGAGAGGGAAAGAGAAATAGAAATAGAAAGAGGGATTCAATTTCATAAAGTGCCCCTACCTTCTTGGGTACGACATTTGGCTCCGTTCTTATCAGCGTTTCCAGCTCCGATTTTCGCAGCAATAGTTTTAAATTATCTTTTTTAAGAGTTGCTGCCGTGTGGAGAACCTGCAGAGCATCTTTGTATCGATCTAAAAATGAAACCACATTAATTAAGCTGCCGGTAAAAGTGACTGCCCGTTATCAGCGGCAACTCACTCATTTTGATAAGCGCTTCGGCGTAGACGTGGAACACCTCAGCACGATCCAGTTCCAGAGGCAACGGCAGCTTGTGTGGTCCTTGCAGCCACTCGATGGCCTGGAATATCCATTGGCTGGCATAGCCAAACTTCTGCTGGTCATAGTAGTATATGCCTAGGGCATAACTGTCCAGCGCATTCAAACTGACACTGGAAGGTCAAGGTCATCAAAGTATATCGATTATATAAAAGATTTGTGGCTCTGTAAGCAGCTAAGCTACGTACTTGTACTTCTTGCCATTCAACAGCCCCTGAGCCATGTCGGAGACGTTCAAGTCGTAGGTGACGAGTATGCGATGCAAGGCGTCGCCGGCCTCCTCCATATCCGTGCTGCTTGGCAGCTGCTCGCGCCTCAGCTGCACGTGGCTCACCTGCTGCTCGCCCACCGGTTGCTGCATGTAGTGCTGCCAGTGCGTCCAGTCCTGGTGCATGCGCCGTATGAGCGAAAAGGCATTTAGAGGATTTGACAGATAGTGAACCGGATTGTCCAAAGCCTTGCCATTCTCTTTGCGCATTTGCCTAACGAAGCTGGGGTAGATTTTCAGTTAATAGAGCTCGATCTACGGCCTACGTGACTCTCTGCTAACCAACCTGCGCACCACATACAGCTTCTGCTCCAGCTCATCAGCGTAGCTGTTCAGATTGTCGATGAGCTCACTCTCCACGCGCAGCAGCTGCTCCATGCCGGCCACCGAGGTGGAGTGGCTCTGCTCATTATCCGCACTCTGGCCATCAACCAGGGCCCGCAGCAGAGCTGTGGCCACAAAGATCAACTTCCATGACGGCATATGCACTATTTTTCTGGCCATCTTCAGGTGGCAATGCGCCGGGTCCAACTGTCAAATGTGTTGACGTTGGCGCGAGATAAATGTTCTAAAATACAAGAACACCGTCGCGTCGTGCTGCTTGCCATTATTGCCATTCGTTTCCCCGATTGATAAGAAATTCGATGCGACTCATTCAGTTGATAGCGAGCCGCGCAGCCGCTAATTAAAAAGTCTGATCTGAGTGTTGCACCGTGGAGCACGTAGCCACTAGACCTTCTCTACAATTGGCCCGAAACTGATTGAGCAAATGAATTGGATACATTTTGTCATTATGTGTTGAGAATATTCGTTATGAAAAATATATGTATGTATATATATAATATATAATATATAATATATAATATATAATATATAATATATAATATATAATATATAATATATAATATATAATATATAATATATAATATATAATATATAATATATAATATATAATATATAATATATAATATATAATATATAATATATAATATATAATATATAATATATAATATATAATGCATATATACTTCTAGCATTTCCACTGTGCACTCTCCATTTACCGGTTAATTTGTCACTCGCATTGTTTAAAAGACTCAGCATTTTTATTATTTCACTTGCTTTCTTTTTGCTTATGCAGTTCTCAGCACATTAAGCTAAGCACGTGTGTGAAGCGGTGCAAATATTTAATTTTACTGCTACATAAGCTTATCTATAGATGTCTGTAGAAACTCACACCTAAAAATGAATAGCGCATGACTCTGAGTGACACCTAAGGTTTGAAAAAGAAGTTATAAATATACATATATGTATTATTTATTTATTTTTCTTTTGATAACCTTCAATAATAATAACCGATCATTCATAGAAAAGATTTTTATAGTGAAAGCTATTGATAAGGTCAGCATTTTCGTTTCAGTTTTTTGTGGCTAAAGAGAGTTAATGGATCACAAATCAAAATTGACTAAAATAATTTAATATTTATATTATTACAATTTTCGTATTCGAGTTATCAAACGTCTCATGTCGACTGAGACGAAGATTTATTGTGGGAGAATTGACTCAGCCATGTTCTATATTTTATTTGACTTAAGTAACTAAGACACCTGTATCGTTTATAGATACACCTAACATACTGTTCTTCAAGAACTCAATCCTGCCTTTTGATGGCTCCTTCATTACGTGAGCAGAACTGCATTAGCCCTAAATATTCTTGGAGTTTCTACTGTGGGCTCAGAGTTTGCGCTTAGAGGGCTTGAGTATCAAATGTGTATGTGTGCGTGTGTGTGTGTGTATAAAGTATTTAGTCAACTCAATGTCAAAATTTAAAAAAACATAGTTGATTCATTTATTAAAATTTGTGTAAAAGAACAGAAAAGTATTCGTAAATTCTCTGTAACCGTTAAGAAATGGTCATTGTCAGCACCGTAATTTATGGTCAGGACTCTTCGGATGATTCAACGACGACTACATTGCGGCCAGTGTCATTTCTGTTTTACACGCTAGAGTCGATCTTTAATATGTTCTGTTTGGCTTATCACATCAAGGGATTTATGGCTGTAGATTTGTATATGTTGTCCTGGGATAGGCATCTCGTTTTCTATGTTTACTTGGTGACCTTTTACGTGTTCATGGTGATCACGCTCTTCCAGAGCATCAATATCTGCTCGGGTCATAATCCCACCATTGGCATGGAGATCTTTAAATCCTGCCTAGCCTCAGTAGGATTTATATCGATCTCCATCCTAACAATGTGGGATGCGGAACGTGACTTTCATTTGATGTACAGTGGCCGTGAACCCGTGGATGGTGTCTATGAGACGGATAGGCCCGTTCATCCTTTCTCGGCATTTCTCCTTTATCAATCCGTTGCCTCACTGGCCTGCGGCATTCTCTACATGCTGCACGCCACCATCCTAATAGATGTTAAGCTAACAGCCGTGAACAAGGTGCTGACAGAGGGGGAAGACTCCATGTACATGGCCATCCATATCTACGTCCTTGGTGAATATGTTCAAACAAAGCTAGAGAAATACCCATGGTTTTACGATTTCTGCTCAAACCAACGCATTGAAATCTAAACCTGCTTCCGCACCTACCGACTCTTTAAATTTATGTATAAGTTTAATATGTCATTTAAAACGACTAAATTATATGAAAAATAATTGGTTTTCGATATGTGTTTGCAAATGTTTTAGATAAAGATAGGGGTTTTCTCGGATATATAGTATATAGATATTTAAATACATTGGCTTTGGATACAAGACAAAGAAGACGAGGTATTCAATAGTGTACAAAATGATCTTGTAGTTGTCAAGCTGGATATATTCTGCCTCTTTTTATACCCTGAACCCATTGAATATGGGAAATCAGGGTATAATGGTTTTGTGAAAAAGTATGTAACGGGCAGAAGGAGGCGTGGCAGACCCCACAAAGTATATATATTCTTGATCAGCGCGACGAGCTGAGTCGATATAGCCCTGTCCGTCTGTCCGTCCGTCCGTCCGTCCGTCCGTCCGTCCGTATGAGTGCGTCGATCTCAGAAGTTATAAGAGCTAGAGAGCTGAAATTTGGCATGCATACTCGTGTGTACCATACGCAGTACGAGTTTGCTTTATTTTTTCGATAAATCGTCCGATAACTTTTTTATCGAGAATAATCGAAAAATCGGTATTGTTTTTTCAGCCTAATTTGAACACTTTTAGACCTGGAGTCTTCAAATTTGCGTTGTATATAAAGTTAATCGATACAAAGATTTTGTAATTTACAGATTTTGGATACCACGCCCCCTTTTCCCCCAATTTGTAAAAAACGCATTTCAAGTACTAGAGACTTGTGCTTTGGAATGTACACACATATTCATCATATAATTACACTCTAAAAGTTTCTTTAAGATCTTATGTCTACAAAAGAAATTATTCAACAAATAAATTCTCATAATATTGCCCACAAAGCAGCGCAGCCCAAGCGCAGTCGCTGCTTACTGCGCAGTTAGCAAAGCGCAGGCTTGTGCGTGCGTGTGGATGCATGTGTATGTATGTGTTCATAAAAATGCAGAATGATTAGAATATCAGCTCAGGGTATCTCCTAGTCGAGCAGTCTCGACTAGAGCCTTCTTACTTGTTATAGAGTAGAAAATCTAGTCAAGCTATTGTATAAATAAATATGAAATCAAAGCATCATTCATTTTATTTGATATGCTTTAAATTATATTTATTATATTATTATTATATTGTATTATATTATATCATATTATATCAACCTATTCTGTCTGCAATCACATTCAAATAAACTTCTCTCGGCTGATCCAGTATATATAATATTTATGTATACAAATTCGCTTCTAATCCCTGTTTGGTCTTCTTTGTTGCTTTCAATTACCAGTGGTGAAATGTAATATGAAATTGTTCTCCATTAAAGTCCATTGACGCGCTCAGTTAGGGACCTTTGGACAGGAATGTGACAATCTGTTATCTGCTTTAGCCATGAATGATTTCATTGAAAGGCTTTGTGGAAAACCTAAAAACCTTTTTGTATACAAAATAGCTGCACACACACACACACACACACACACATGCTCGCATACACACACACACACATAGATGAAGCAAGGCGCCGAGTGCTCCACCCACTTGTTGTGCAAAGGTATGACCGGAAAGGGCTTTAAATTTTGCACTTTTATGGGGGCGTGTGGTTGGGTGTTGGCTGCGCTGGCAGCAGTTGTCATCCTGCAGCGGCATGTGTCCTGCCGTTGATATCGGCTTAACTTTGCCATAAAACTGTCAGCGTCACGCGTGTAGTGGACACGGGCAAGGGCACGGGCACGAGCACGGAGAGCAGTGCAGGGCGGTCAAATGAAATAAATTTTACAGCCAAATGGGCAGACTTTTGCCAAACAAAAAGGCCAAACCCCACACACACACACACACACACACATACAAATGCAGAGATTTGTATGGGCAAATGTCAGAGGCAAATCTAATGCGGACAACAAAAGCACCTGTGACCTGGAAAATGTCTCGTGGTTGCCAACGGCGTGGTGCAGCTGCCATTGCTGCTGCTGCTTGCTGGCCATATTTAAGCCGCTCTCTGTTGACCAGCAGCACTTAAGGCCCGGCGCTCGTCTGGGCCAAGTGCAAATGTTTACGCCGAGTCGCCCTTTGTTGTTAAGCTTCATCAAGTCCCCGCCCGATGTTCATCAATTAAGTGTCATCAATCATCTGCAAGCAATCGAAAATGTGGAGCGAAATAAGCGACAACAGCGACGACGCGACGCGACGGCCAAACATGTCACGGTACAAACTGTCGTTTAACCTAAACCAAACCTAAAATGCGAAAAAACCACAGAGATTATTTACTTTAGTCTCAGACATCGATTAGACGTTATATGGGGCATTCCACTAAACGGCAGTTAAGTATTACGTATTATGAAATTAGAAAAAAAAAAAAAATGATTGTTTGTTTAAAAATTTAAAGGAGAGAGTGATTAGTCTTAGACATCGATTATATGTCATATGGGGAATTCCATATACAAATTAATATTTTATAATAAACTATTAAATTATATAAAAAAAAGGACTACGATGAACCATTTAATGCAGACAGAGATTTTTACTACATATGAAGCTCAAAATTTTATAATCAAATATTTGATTTCCAATTTAAGCAAGATATTACTAACTTTAGTGTGAGGCATCATATAGATGTTATATGGGGTATTCCGCCAAACGGCTCAGTTGGTATAATTAAAAAAAATTGTTTGTATTTGAAATTTAAAATAGAGTTTATTTACATTAGTCTCTATCATTATATCATGCGACCATCACATAAAGATGTTTATGTTAAAGTACAAATTGTACAATAAAATATATAAAAATATCTATTATGTTTCCAAACACTTAAAACATGATTATTTCTTATGATTATTCATTCATAGACAGCAGAAATCAAATCCGCATTTAACTAAGAATTTTAATATTAAATTGGCTTGGAGCACATCTTGAATTAATGAAATGAAATAATCAATTATACACCGATATATATGTATAAAAAAGATACAAAAATCCCAATTCCATTTATATATTGCTGAAAACAAATGCAATCAAAGTCCGTCGAATTATAATTGATATTGATTTCTGGAACTGCCTCTCCAACCGGATATTCGAGCCCTGCTATGGGAGGAGGTATTCAAGTTATTCGACTAAGCGCAAACATTGTACACCTAAACACACAAAACTGGGGCAGACACCACTCGCAGCGCAATTTGTGAGTGGTGCAGTGGTGGTTGTAGGCGCAGCAGCACCTTTTGAGCCCATATCAATTTCAATCATGGCTCAGCGTTTCGTTTGATGACCCACTGTGCCCTGTGCGGGACCGTAAAACTAAAGCGCTTCAGTTACGGCGTATTCTTTTCTCTTGCCGGGGGATGGCGGGGGTAGGGGCAGCTGAAACTTTAGTTGGTTTATGGGCTCGTTGGCGAATTCAAATCAAGTGGAAATGCTGGAGCAGCACTTGGAACGACTTGGACTTGTAAGACAAAGCCATTAATGGCGCCCGGCGCTGGCCACGCGAATCTTTATGCCACAATCTTCGCATTAGAAATCAATGTCGAGCGCTGCAGTTATGATTATTGCAGTTGTCAAAACTTGTCTCACACTCACCCGCCCCCTCTCTCTCCATTCCCTCTTTCGGTTTCGCTTTGTGTGATCATAATGGGTTATCCTGGTAGCTGGCTAGGTTTAGGTTTATGCAAATGCGCAGCGCTTTAGCGCTGGCAAACAGACGTCCAAGTAAATGTGGCCAGGGCACGCTAAAGAATGCTTATGACTTGTGTAAACAATTTGGCATTCGCCAAGTCCAACGCCAACAACCCTCGAGGATGTGGAGCTCGGCTTTTACGTGTAGGTATGTGCCAGCTGAAGCTCTATCCTGTGGCTCGATCTGCTGCAGCTGTATAAAAAATATTTTATAGACTTTGGGTGCAAAAGTAACTTTGTGTCTTGGACGATAAGCGAAGTTTGCGTATGTGACTTCCGTTTGTCCTTGCATGTCCTTTCGCCATCATGTGTGTGCGTGTGTGCACACTGCCCTATGTGCCTGTGTCCTGTTTGCTTTCGCACAATTTTTATGCATTTTCTTAGCGGCCATTTTTATGCCCGCACACGTTTTCCATTAGACGTCAACGGCTGTCATTTCCGCATTCGCCTGTTTGATTTTCGATACGTATCCTTTGCGCGGCGTTTAATTGAAACTGGGTCAACTGCTGGACGCCCATTAATCACGCCCTCATCGTCGTCTTCCTCCTCGACACTAGCGCAATTTGCATTTGCGCTCATCGCCCAATTATCATGTTCGAACAATTATTCTTTGTTAGGCGAAAGTTTTTCCCGATCTAATTGAAACGGTGAAGGCGGCATTAATCTTCATAAGGTTGACAACTTCATTAGAGTGGCGACAGCGGCAAACACGGCATTGATTTGCTGCATAACACAGTTTGCCAATCTCCCCACGCCCCAGGCATCTCTGCTGCTGCTCTTCTGCTAATTAAAAATGTGACCCACACACACGCACAGAGAGAGAGAGAGTGAGAGAGAGAGAGTGAGAGAACTTAAACCGCTCGCAATTTATCAAAGGCATAAAGCGGTGCGTTTTTTATGCCGCGGATATAATTTTTTAGCAAGGCGCTGAAGCGCGGCGCGTATAATGCGCATAATTTCTATGCCACGTCGGTCGCCCGCAAAATGAATGTAGACAGACGCATGGACTGGTCGGTCGGGAGCGGGGGGCACTAGCCGACCTTTGCGCCAGCTCCAGCCACAACAACAGGCACAAACATGGCGTCAGTTTTTGGCAATGAGCAGCGTATCGGGTAAGAAGCAGGAGGCGGGGAGTGGCAGGGGTGAGGGGGCACATGAACAAAAGAGGTACACGCGAAAATAAAACCTATTACCGGAATCATAATTATCTTTTATGGCCGCGTCTGTCATGACGACATTATGGCCAGCACGGCGCGGCCTTCTGGCCCCGGCCTGAGCCGCGCCAACACGAAGCAATAAAAAACCGCGAAATGCGGCCAAGTAGC